CTCACCTTATTCGGTAGATATCTCCTGTTATAGTGATGTAAATGCCTCACTAGCTCTGCCTACAAACTTTGTTTGAATCAACAGTACCCCAAATAGTCAGTGGCCATTTCATTCGTTTAATCACTTGCTCACATGAAATGAAAATGGCTTCTACATCCTTCTTGTTAAACTTTGGCAAAGCTTGGGCATGTTTAAATAGATTCCCACCAGGCCTTTGGCTCTGATGAGATTGCTGTCTATCACTGTTCTCATCACTACCCATACCTTGCACCTATACCTCTGCCATTTCAAGTCGAGTTTGAGTTTTTAGTTCCAACCTCTGAAGTTCAAAAACTCTCTCTTTCTCCCATTCTTCTGCTAGGGCCTTCCTTTTCCTTTTCCTCAGCTTTCAGTCATAATTGAAACTGTTTCATTTCCTTTTCATGCCCTTTTCATGTTCAAACTGCTTCATTTGCAAATGAATTTTAGCCATTTCCAATAATTCCAATAGCATTTCCAGCAATCGTAAATGTTGAGCTATTGCTGCAATTGATCTCCTTTTTGCATGGACAAAGGCAGCCCCAACTCCAGCTCACCTGCCAATTCCAAAAACTTTGCCTTACTCATTTTCGATAAAATTCCCAAAGTGACTTCTTCCACCCCCAGTGACTGAAAGATATATTACTATACAAAGCACACCCTATTTAAAACAAACAAATGCAACACCTCAAAGACACCACCACTCACCACTCACTGCCTTTGAGCCCAATAATCCTAAATCCTAAGACGTTAGTCTAACTTTTTATTATTTTATAGGTAAGGCATTGCATTCCAGATGCAATTTGATTCACCAAAGTACTCAACTTCAAGCAAAATGCACATTATTTCTATACTACAGTTAAAATACAGACAAAATAAGTAATATCCCATGAACATACTCTTGACAAAGGCAACTTCAGTAAAATAGAGTGTCTCACATGCAATTCTAGCAGCACAAAGAAAACCCCAGCTTTTAGCTGTGACAGAGAGAGGATTAAGTGTTTCCACATCCAGCTTCAAGACCCCAGCAACTGCAGAAAGGTAAAACTAAAAATCCTCGTTCTGTGGGAGCTTGACTCCACCCATTCAGGCTGCTTCTATTGTTCCAATGTTTAAAAAAAAGCCCAACACCTCACAAGCTGTTTACTTTATTGGCTGAAAGTAGACTGCCCGTTACCTCTGTCTTAACCTTCCTTCACTGAAAAAAGGAGTAAATACACCTCTTAAGCTAACACAAGAGGAATCTCTGTATTAATACACAAATCAAGAAAGGTAGTGTGCAGCTATGGCAAGCAATTAGGAAGTGAAATGTTCTAATTTATTGTAAGAGGAATAGAATGCTACAGTTATATAGAACATATTTTAAGGCTATATCTCCTGTATAGTTTTGGTCTCCTTATTTTAAAAGAAATGGATGTGAAGAAGCACCTTGGAGAAGATTTATTCAAATGATATCTAGAGTGAATTGGTGGGGTGGATGTGTGGTGTGGCACAAAGGATGTTATCTTAGAAGAAAGATTAGACAAGCTGGGCCTGTATTCATTGGAGGTTAGGAGCCTGAGAGGTAATCCTATTCAAAGATCCTGAGATAACAGGACAGGGTGAATGCTGAAAAGAAGTTTCCTTATGTAGGGACTAGAACTAACGGACATAAAATTAATAGTATCCCATTTAAGAAGGAGATGAGGAGGAGGGTTTTCTCAAAGAGGTATGACCGTTTAGAATTTTGCTCCTGAGGGAATGTAGAGAAATGTCAAGTTGTTTAATTTGAGGGGAAGAATAAAAAAATAAGATTTACTTAAATGGCAAATGACTATGGAATTCTGAGGTACAGAGTGATTTAGACATTCTTAGTGCATGAGCCACAAGAGGTTAGTACACAGCCGAAGAAAGTAATCAAGGTAGACAAAGCTGTCTTTTTGAAATAACTGCATGAAGGCTGGTATCCCATCACCATGTCACCCTTTATTTGCACATGCATAGTACATGACACTGACTCGGATAGTTCAGAGCTAGCTTCTTGAGTGAGCGGAACCCTTGACACTCCTGTTTATAGCAGGTTAACAGTCCCAATCAGGGAGCTCATATTCTGTGAGATCTACCTGGCTGACCTCGTTCCAATCACTACTCTTTATTATGAGAGGAATTGAACATAAAGTAAGGATGTTATGCTTCAGTATTACGGAGCATTGGTGAGACCAGGCCTTGAATACTATATGCAGTTTTGATCTCCTTATTTAAGGAAGAATATAAATACATTGGAACCAGTTCACAGGAGGCATACTGGGTTGATACATGGACTGGGCAGGTTGTCTTATGAGTATAGGTTAGACAGGCTTGACTTGTTTTTAGTTGAGTTTAGAATAGTGATGGGTGATTTGATTGAAGTGTATAAGATCCCAAAAAGTCTTGAGACGGTTGACATGAAAAGGGATTTATTCTTGTGGTTCAATCAGGAACTAATGGGCATTGTTTTAAAATTCAGGGTTGCTCTTTCAGGATAGAGATTAGGGTAACAATTTTCTCTCAGCCTGTTGCGCAACATAGGAATTCTCTTCCTCAGAAGGTGATCGGGTTGGGAATCACGTAATACTTTTAAGGAAGATGTAGATATATTTTGGACTAATCAAGAAGTCATACTGTAGCAGAGATAGGTGGGATTGAGGCCAAAATCAGATCAACCATGACCTTATGAATGGTGGATCTAGCTAGAGGAGACAAATGGCCTGCTTTTACAGGGATCATTGAATAGGCTACAAGCGTTGAACTGGGAATCAGAAAAGTCTGAGGGAGTTAAAAGGGCGTATTTGTAGGCAAATGTTTGCCAAATGAATAAAACAAGGCACTAGAGGGAGGTTTCAGTTACCCTAATAAATATTGGCATACAGTCAATGTAAAAGTATATAGGGCCCGGAGTTAATAAATTGAATACAAAAGAATTTTATTAGTTGATATGTGGTGAGCCTAGCAAGTATTGTTGGTGTGGAGTTGAACTTGGCTGTGACAGAGTAAGAATGTGCAATTTTAGATTCAGTTTCAGGGAATGAAATGGGCAGAATACCAGTATTGAAGTGATCATAATTCACTTCGATCTAGTATAGTCATGGCAAAGGCAAAAATAATACAGCATAAACTTCTAAATTTTATTCAGCTGAGAAATGCTTTGGCAAAAGTTGGTGAATCATGTAGAGCAATGGGAGTTATTCAGGATGAGACAAGGGATTCAGGGTGAGACAAGGGATTCAGGGTGAACATGTACCCATAGAAAGTGGGTGAGCCTTCTGAATGGCATCATATAGTGAGGGGCGTCACAAGGGCTGAGTGGTTAGCACTGCTGCCTCACAGCACCAGGGACCTGGGTTTGATTCTACCCTTGGGTGACTGTCTGTGTTGAGTTTGCATATCTTCCTGTGTCTGCATGGGTTTGCTCCAGGTGATCCAGTTTCGTCCAAAAATATGCAGATTAGGTGGATTGGCTGGATTGTCCATGCATGTGTAGATTAGGTGGGTTAGCCATGGGTTAACCATGCAGGGTGACAGAGATAGGGTAGGGGGTGGGTCTGGTTGGGATGCTCTTTAGAGGGTCAGTGTGGACTTGATGAGCCGAATGCTCTGCTTCCACGCTGTATTGGTTGTATGATTCTAAGGTAAGTCATAACTGAAAGGAAGCTTAAGTCAAACACTGAGAGCTTAATACTGTAAAGAACCTAGGGGAAGTGTAGAGATGAAGCTTAGAAAAAAGTGAGGATAGCGAAGAGAGTATGAAAAGATGCTGATGGTATCAAAAGAGGTGGAGGGTAGATGTTTCTTAAGAAATACTTTGCGGTAGATCCAATTATGATGTGATAATTAATGAGAAAGAATGTGACATAGGAGGCAAATTTTTACACAGTGGGTGGTTCGTGTGTGGAATGAACTTCCCGATGAAGTGGTGGATGCGGGTACAATTACAACATTTAAAAGAGATTTGGATGGATATATGATTAGGAAAGGTTTGGAGGGATATGGGCCAAGAGCAGGCAGGTGGCACTAGTTCAGTTCAGGATTATGTTTGGTGTGGACTGGCTGGACTGAAGGGTCTGTTTCTGTGCTGTATGACTGTATTGGATTGGATGACTATTACAAGTGAAAAAGTGTTAAAGGACTTGACATACTTGAAAATGGACAAATTGCAATGCTTGGATCAAGTAACTCACCAGATTCTAAAAGAAAGAAGAATGGAAAATGTGTAGATTCTGACCGTCGTATTTCAAAACTTCCTGTCTACAGTAATGAAGCCAGAGGATTGAAGCACTATCAACATGTTACCACCATTAATTAGCTTTGGCCTTGTAAATAACTTTGTTGTAGGAAACTTATTTTAATCAATTCTGAAGTACAGTATAAATCTTCGAAAGACATCAATAATCAAGGACAGCCAGCATTAACTTATAAAGGGAAATCATGTCTAAATAATGTGATTAAATTTTCAAGGATGTGACAAATAGAGTCACAATATGAGGACAATTGATAGGTATAGTCAGCATTGTTGATTAGAGTTGCTCGATACTTAATGTGTGTTTCCACCATTCAGCTTTATAAGTGTATGAAGATTAGACTCCAGTGTTCTATTTTTCAGTATCTGGCTGTCTGAGTTTTAAGAGTTCTAGAATAGGGCTTATACCTTCATCTGGTTTCAGTCCTAGATCACAAAGTTACAATGTGAGGATTGTTTGGAGTGTGACTCACTCAAATTGCAGTTTTAGAGTTGAGAAGCAGTCAAGAAAATCTGAATTTTAGTTAAAAATTATATTCAGAGCATCAAATTTTAAACTTCATCCGGATCATTATTGATGATAGAAAAACTCAGACTTCCTGATTTTCAGAGATAATGTCCTTATTTCATATATGCAACTTTCTTTTGCAGTAGTGTACTGATCAGTCTTCTATGTTATGATTCCGAAAGTAAAAAAATAAATTTGACATCTTATTCCTTATTATAGATCATCATGGAATTCGATTTCTTTTACGTTCAACCATTTATAGGCTGCTATCGAGATCATCTAAAAATTTATGACGGTTCCAATATTCGCTCACCAATTCTCAAAGGACCAGCTTGTGGCAAAGTGGCTCCAGCAGTGATCTCTTCCCAGCATAAATTGTTAATTACATTTTTCTCGGGTGGACAGAAACACGCTCATGGTTTCAGTGCTAAGTATCGATTTGGTAAAATCTTGGTATAATAATTGGTGTGTTCTTTCAATTTATTTGTGTAGATATCTATATATAAAAAAGAATTGGAAGACTGTATATATTTCACTGTGGGTTTTTTTGCCCATTTTCCAGTTAGATGTGGAGAAATGCTGACTGCTTCACCAACCAGTATTGTAGGTAGAGTTGAACATAAAGGTTCCATGAATCCACATGAAGTGTCAAACTGTTTTTGGCTGATTCAGGCACATAGAGGGCATAAGGTATGAACATAGCACATTGAAACATTGTTTAGTTTAAAAGAAATATGGGGCCATGTTGTGATTAGTGGAGTATATTGCCTGCTGCCAGCTCTTAATTTTAGTGTATAATGCAGAAGAAAAACAGAAAAGCATCTAATGGCAGTTTGAATTGAAATTTGCACTTTGTGAGAAACAACATTGTTCGTGCTGATATTTTGTTTTAAATGTCTATGAGTTAATCATACTAACTAGGGGCTCATTGATGACTATTTGGTTCTACTCTACATTGGTACAATATATTTTCTAACAGTACTTGGTGTTCCAAACTTAATTTCTATTTATTGTATCCTCTGGGATAAGTAAGCGTGTGCTCGATCTGTATTGCCACAAGAAAGCAGAATGAAGACTTCCTGTAAACCATTTTAATCAACCACAATGTCCACAGCCAAGAATTTTCTGTACATTCTCATAGTAGAGAAAAAGACAGAGGCCATCTAAGGAGATGAATATGAACCTATATGATTTCTTGAACAGTGAACTGCATGTACAGGCAGGTTCCTATAACAGTCACAATAGTGACAAGTAAAGGGCCTTTGGTACTTAGCTGCTACTTTCTTGGACATTCGCTAGTGCATATTTTTCCAGACATAGAGTCATGCAGCACGGAAACAGAAGCTTCAGCCCAATTCGTCCATGCTAACCAAGTTTCCCAAACTAAACTAGTTCCATTTGTCTGCGCTTGGCCCGTATCCCTCTAAACCTTTCCTATTCATGTACCTATCCAAATGTCTTTTAAATATTGTAACTGTACCTGCATCTACCACTTCTTCTGGCAGTTCATTCCACATACAAACCACCATCTGTGTGAAAACATCACCCCTCAGGTGCCTTTTACATTTTTCTCTTCTCACCTTAAAATTCTGTCCCCTAGGTTTGAATGCCCCAACCAGTGTGAAAAGACCTTAGTTATTCACCTTATCTAAGCCTCTCATGATTTTATAACCTCTGTACAGTCACCCCTCAAGCTCCTGTGCTCCAGTGAAAAAGCTCCCAGCTTATCCAGCCTCTCCTTATAACTCAATCCTTCCAGACTGGTAACATCTTTGTAAATCTTTTCTGCACCCTCTTCAATTTAGTAATATCCTTCCTCGAGCAGGGGAACTAACTGTACACAATATCCAAAAGTGGCCTCACCAACGACCTGTACAATCTTAACATGACGTCCCAACTTTTGTACTCAGTACTCTGACGGATGAAGGGAAGCGTGCCAAACGCTGCCTTCTCCACCCTGTCTACCTGTGACGCCTACAACCTAGGTCTCCCTGTTTGACAACACTCCCCATGGCCCTACCATTAACTGTGTAAGTCCTCCCTGGTTGTCTAACAGCTGACGATGTGGCCCACGAAGTTGTTTTCAAGATTCAAGTAAGTGTAATTGAAACGCCATAAGAAATAGGAACAAGAAAAAGTCAACCAACTGTTTAGCTTGTAGGATCATGACTGAGCCAACATTCCTCACATCCACTTATCTGTGTTTTCTGTGTAACACTTGATTTCTCTACTAATCAAGAATTTATCTCTGTATCTCAGTCTTAAGTATGCACAGGGCCTCTTTCCCCACAACTCTCTGTGGCAAGGAGTTCCAAAAACCCACAACCCTGTATTAGTGTGGAAGCAGGCCATTCAGCCCATCAATTCACACTGATCCTCTGAAGAGCATCCCACCCAAACCCACCCAGTCCCTGTAATCCTGCATACCCCATGGCTTATCCGCCTAACCTACCCATCCCTGGACACGTTGGGCAATTTAGAATGGCCAATCCACCTAAGCTTCATTTCTTTGGACTGTGGGAGGAAACTGGAGCACCCCGAGGAAATTCAGCAAACATGGGGAGAATGTGCAAACTCCACACAGTCACCTGCGGCTGGATTCAAATCCAGGTCCCTGGTATTGTGAGGCAGCAGCGCTAACCACTGAGCCAATGGTGCCCTAACCAGCAAGCCACTGCTGCCGCACTGTAAGAGAAGAAATTCCTTCACATGAAATCCAGGGGGAGCTAGGCAATTGGATACAAAATTGGTTTGAAGGCAGGAGACAGAGGGTGGTGCTCGAGTGTTTTTTTGGACTGGAGGCCTGAGACCAGTGTTGTGCCACAAAAATCATTGCTGGGTCTGCTGCTTTTTGTTATTTGTATAAATAATTTGGAAGTGAGTATAGAATGTATGGTTAGTAAATTTGCAAATAACACCAAAGTTAGTGGTGTAGTGGACAGTAAAGAAGGTTATCTCAGAGTACAATGGGACCTTGATCAAAAAGACTAATGAGCTGAGGAGTGGCAGATGGAGTTTAATTTAGATAAATGTGAGGTGTTGCATTTTGGTAAGGCAAACCTCGCAGGACTAATATAGTTAATGGTAGGGTCGTGGGGTGTGTTGCTGAACAAAGAGACCCAGGGATTCAGGTGCATAGTTCCTTTAAAGTGGAGTCACAGATAGACAGAGTGGTGAAGAAGGTGTTTGGCATGCTTGATTTCGTTGATCAGTGCATTGAGTATAGGAGTTGGGAGGTCATGTTGCAACTGTACAGAATATTGGTGAAGCCACTTTTGGAAATCTGCATTCAATTCCGGTCTCCTTGCTATAGGAAAGATGTTGTAAATTTGAAAGAGTTCAGAAAAGATTTACAAGTATGTTGCCAGGATTTGTGGGGGCCGGGGTTTGAGCTGTAGGGAGAGTCTGAAGAGGCTGGGGCTATTTTCCTTGGAGCGTTGGAGGCTGAGGGGTGACCTTATGGAGGTTTATAAAATCGTAAGGGCATGGACAAGGTGAATAGCCAAGGACTTTTTTCTCAGGGTAGGAGAGTCTAAAAGGGCACAGGTTTAATGTGAGAGGGGAAAATTTTAAAGGAACCTGAGGGGCAACTTTTTCATGCAGATGGTGGTGCATGTATGGAATGAGCTGCCAGAGGAGATGGTGGACGCAGATATAATTACATATTTAAAAGGCATGTGGATGAGTATGTGAATAGGAACGGCTTAGAGGGATATGGACAAAATGCTACCAAATGGGTCAAAATCAGTTTCAGATATCTGGTTGGCATGGACGAGTTGGACCAAAGGTCAGTTTTTGTGCTGTAGAACTCCATGACTCTAAGATGATGCCCTCTGGTTCTAAACTCTTCCATGAGGGGAAACGCCGTCTCGGGTTTATCCTGATGTGGAAGTGCCATTGTTGGACTGGGGTGGACAAAGTCAGAAGTCACATGACACCAGGTTATAGTCCAACAAGTTTATTTGAAATCACAAGCTTTCAAAGACTGCTCTTTCAACAGGCAAAGGGATGAAGATGACTTCACCTGACGTAGGAGCAGCACTCCAAAAGCTTTTGATTTCAAATAAACCTGTTGGATTATAACCTGATTTTGTGTGTCTTCAGTATATATCCTGTCAAGCCTTTAAGAATCCTGAATGTTTCAATGAGATTACCTCTCATTCTTCTAAACTCCAGTGAGCAGAGTCCCAACCTGTTTAGTCTTTACTCATAAGACGATTCCTCAATACCAGGGGTTATTCCAGTGAACGTTCTCTGAGCTGCCTCCGATGAAATAGTTTCTTTGCTTAAATAAGGAGGCCAAAACTACTCTCAGTACTCCAGATGTAGTCTCACCAGCACCTTGTACAATTTCAGCAAGACTTCCCTACTCTTACACACCAATCCCCTTGAAATAAAGGCCGACATTCCATTACTCTTCCTGATTACCTGCTATACCTATGTGCTAGCTTTCTGTGTGCACAAGTACCCCCAAGTGTGACAGCTTTCTGTGGCCTTCCTGCATTTAAATAGTACTCTGTTGTTCTCCCATCCAAAGTGAACAATTTCACATTTTCCCACATTATATTTGCTAATTGCGCCCGGCCTCCCCTCCAAACTGCCTGGGGTCCTGCCTCCGGACCATACGAGGACCTCCAGACTGTGCCACGACCTCGCCTCCAGACCGCACCAGCCCTGGCCTTCAGTTCATGCCAAGACCTTGCCTCCATGTCCCATCGAGTCCCTACTGTGGGTCTACTGCAGCCCCACTCTGGGGACCAAGCTCCATTGCAGCCAATGGCCCATCAACTTCCCAGCCCAGGCACAGGGCCTAATGAAAACAGGAGTCCTCAATCCCACCACCACTACTTCCGATGATCCTCTATCACTGTTTTGGCTTCTCCACGATGTCAGAAGGTGAAAGAAAAGAGAAAGAAAAAGACAGAAAAGGAGAGAGAAAGAGAAAGAAGCAGCTGGCGTGAAGCATACAAACTCAGGAGCCCTAACACTCTCTGCCGTTGCTGATCTTTCTGAAAATGAGCCTAATCATTCCTCCATTCTCTTTTTAGAAGAAGGCCTCCACTGCTCCCAATAAGAGGTTATTGAGAAGGTATGTTCAAACTGATATTTACGATGACAATAAAGGATAAGATTCTGCATCTGGCTAGCACCAGGAGTGCAGATCTGTTGGCTATGGCGAGGCTGGGTTTTGTTCTGGGAAATGGGTGGTGAGAAACTTAGAAGTGTTTGTTCAGTCTAGGGAAATTTGGAGTAGGAAAATGGGTTGGTGGAAGAAATGTGTGTGTCTTCTGTAAAAGATGGGATGTTTGCACAGGATGTTTCCTGTTATTGGGAGAGTCTAGAACTAGTGCTCATTGTTTCAAAATAAGGGGTCATCCATTTAAAACAGAGATAAGAAGTAGTATTTTATCACTGAGGGTAGTGAGTCTGTGGAACTCTCTTCCTTAAAGGGGATAGAAGCAGAGTTGAATATTTTAAGGAACATATAGATAGATTCTTGATAAACAAGTGGTGAAGGATTATCAGGATAGGCAGGATTGTGGAGTAATCAGATCAGCCATGATTTTATTGAAAGACAGAGCAGGCTTGAGGGACCGAGTATCCTACTCCTTCGAATTCATATGTTTGCATGGTCACTCCATGTC